CTTATGGGCATTACCGCTCCTGATGCACTACAAAACGATATGAAATTAAATACAGAAAGTTCACAGCAACAATCCGGAGGTCCGAGGAGAAATCCTGGAGTGGGAATTAGGGCACGTCCAAAAAGCAGCACTGTTATTGCCACGGCGATTGTTTGAAAACATTTCTTTTGAGTGTATTTCTTTTTTTTCCAGTCTGATTCTAGCATTCCAGAAATGTGGAAACCCCCCGTTCCTACCGGATTTGGTGACATCTTTTCTATCTACCCGCAATGCTTTACTAAATCCCTCTCTGGGCAGCCGCGGCACCATCCCCGCTGTGTCCTCAGTACGTGCAGCCCGACAAAGCCTGCCTGGATCCGGCTGAGCGCTGGGGTGCAGCACCCCGCTGCCATGGTGCCGACCTGCATCCATGGGGCACATCCCCTGCACACAGATCCCGAATGGGAAGCGCTGACCTGCCCTCCAGGCTCGCTGCTCTTACCTCGAAGCCCGGTGTGCTGGTGAATAAATCACTGCTTTTCTTTCTTTAAGGATAAATACTCGTCCTGGGAAGGGGGAAAGCTAAAAGCAGAACATCCCATCCCGTCCCCTGTGATGCTCCGAGGCCAGTAAGACACAGCTTTGTTGCTCGGCTTTGCCTCCCGAGTTGGAAAGGTCGTGGCTTAATCCTACCCCTGGATTAAAGGGTAGGACACAAATGGCTGACCCACCCCGGCCCCACCTGCCCCTTCAAAGTCCTGTCTGAGCTTATGGGAAACGAACGCCAATGGTTCTTGTTCCCCTCCTCTCAGGGAGCCTTTCCCTGCCCCTTTCCCATAACCAGACTCTTCCTGCTGCAGATAAACCCCCCTTCCCCATGCCGTGTTATTCTCCCACTGAATGGGGCTGGGGTTGTGGGGCCAGTGTGGGGTGTGCGGACCCTGCGTGAGGCTGCAGGGGCTGAGCCTGACAGTCTTTGAGTTGCAGGGAGCAGGAGTGCCTAACTGTGCTGATAAGAGTTTAATTATCGATGCAAAAAGCGTTGTTGCACGGGGGGAGCCTTGCTGTGAATCTTGGGAGGCCTTTGAAGTTGTGATGGAGAGGAACTGAAGCCCAAGGGAACAGGGCTGCTCCCACTGACCCTTCCTCCCCATGCCTGAGCTACAAAGCCCCTGCCTGGGAGGGAGACAACAGAGTAATTAGAGTGAGGACCGCAGTGGGTTAACAATTAGTGAGGGTGCTCAGAGCCCTCTTTGGTCCCCCACTGCTCTATGGAGGATGGGGCTGAGCGCATCCCCCCCCCCATGTCACCCTGGGCTTGTCCCACCACCCCACCACGCACCCCCAGCCAGGCTGAGGGTCCATAGGCTCCACTGGGCTGGGCAGCTCTTGATCCCACAGGTCTGTTCCTGAGCTCAGGATGCTTGGATGAGGGACCCCGAGGTTCCTGTTTGTAGGGATGTCATACATCCCCGCAGGAGCTGTGGCCACTGGAGCAAGTGTTGGGAGAGGTGTCTGACTGTTCCATTTCATAGGTAGGTGGCAAGAGACACATGGACCCAGACAAAACATCTATCTTCTGCATGCTAGTCCCTGCCTTGGCTTCCTCACTTATCCCAAGCAGTGTCTGAATTTGGTAGATATGGGTACGGATAGGGGTAAGGATATGGAGATTATAGATATAGATAGATATAGCTATAGCTATATGTGTATATCTATATATCTGTATCATCTACCTCTATCTCGATATTAGATATCTATAGATATCTAATTAGATATCTAATATCTAATAGATATAGATATCTAATATCTATATCTATAGCTATATATCTATATCTATGTCTATAGATATAGATATCTAATATCGAGATATAGATGATACAGATATATAGATACACATATAGATGATATAGATAGATTTAGATATAGATGTAGCTATAGAAGTAGAGACAGGTTAGATGATATATAGACAGAGATATATAGAGATATATATAAAACCACGTAGCTATAAATAAATTACACATATACCTCATATACATATGCATACACCTGGTCTTCAACTCCTGTGTAATCTGCATCTATGATGGCTCATAGGTGTAATGCAACATCTCAGTGTAATGCAACATTACATGATGCAGCTTTATAAAGGAGCAGGTAGGTCTGCCTTGCATGGCACACCATCTTAAGACCCCAGTTGGTGCTGGGGGAGCGACCTGCTCTCTCCTAGGTGCTTCCATTTGAACGGGCAATTGGGTTTGACAGCTCCTGAACCAGTGCGAGCATTTCCCCTGACACCTCCTGGTGTTTTGGCTCAATACAAGTCAAGGCCAAGGCACAGAATAGGGGAGGTACAAAATGGTGCTCAGGAACACAAAATGGAGCTCGCAGTTTGAGCCTGATCCATGCAGACAGTCCATGACATCAAACAGAATCGCCCAGCTGTAGGACACAGGTCTCCCAAACCACGTTTTCTGAGACACGTTCCAGCTGAAAGGGGTCTTTTTGTGGCAGCCTCCTTGTCCTCCAGCTCTTTCTGAGCATCACCTCCTGAGATGGGACATCACCTGCGAGGGGCTGGACAGGGCCCTTGTTGTATGTGATGTGGTGTGTTCCCTTCGGTAGCCTTTCCCTGCAATGGATGGTTGGGTTTTGGAACAGTGTCGGTCTCCCCGTACCCGAACACAGTGTGCAATAGTGCTGCTGGCTGGATGCTCAGGTCCACAGAAGCGTGTGCTACACCACGAGTTAACACACACGCTCTTGGGCACGCAATGCCTTTGTATTTGTGCAATGCCCACTGCAGTGGTCTTAATGGCTGAAACATTGAGGAATAAAGGAAACAACTTCACCCTCTTCCTGCAACAAGGCACGAGCAATCTGCTCCGCAAGGCTTCCTGCAGGAGGTGCAAGCTTGTGCACCAAAGCATCTGCAAGGAGCCGGCTCCATCATCTCTATGAGGTTGGGTAGCAACCATGTGGTCCGTGTGGTGGGATGGGGTGTTCCAAGCTGGCTCCAGGTCCCACACAGGGCAGTGCAGACAAGCCTAGGGTACGTCCCACCATGGATCCCAGCTCCTTGTGCTGCCTGGAGAGCAGCTGCATCCATTGCAGAGCATCTTGGCGTGGGAAAGAGGGTGCAGGGACCACAGCAGGGGGGGAGAGGGGGTCTGCAAAAGCGGTCTGCTCCCTGCAGCCTGCCTGCTGAGGGTCACTGGGACCGTGCTCCTGCTCTGTGAGCAGGGAACTCCCGAGCCCGAGCTCCTGCTGGGTGAATTACCCAGGGAAAATAGGCAGAAAATCTTCAGATTAACAATAACAAATAAAAATGGATTTGAGATCTCCGAGGTAATTACTCCGTGCTGAGGGCAAGGGGCCTCTTTAGCAGTGGGAGCAGCGCCATGCAGGGAGTGGAGGGGCTCGTCCTGCTGTCGGGCCAATGGAGTCACACAAGAAACCCTGGAAATTCTTTCAAATTGTTCTGCTAACATTAATAAATGCCTCAAAAGCTCCTAATCTGCTCTGTCAGGAGCATGACGTCCGGGTGTTTCACAGCCAGCTCACGTCTCTGCTCCTCTCTCCCTCTACCTCTCCTTCCCTGCCTGGTAATAGTAAATGAAAGTGGCACCCGTTCCTCTGGATTCTGGGACTAGCACCACGCTGAGCCCAGCCTCTGCAAGGGCTGGAGCCACTGTCCCACTGTGCCCCATCCCCAGCATGGCAAGCCACTGCCTTGCTCCAAGACCACCGGAGCCCGGAGACCAGCCAAGACCTGATGCAGCAGCGGGGATGCAGGCAAGCTGCATCAAGGTCTAGTGTGATGCTGCTGGAGGGTGAGGAAGGGCAGTGAGCATGGAGGCAGCATCCAAAGCGGGCTTGAACTTACTGGGTGGCTGCAGGGCTTTTGCTGGGGACAGCTGGAGGCACTGGAGGTCTTGGAGGAAGCCTGGCTCTGATGAGGGGTGACAAGACAGGGGCATGCTGGTGTTGGTGCCTGCTGTGCTCACTCCCAAGGGTCCGGGCACCTTGCTGCCACCCTCTCCCAAGCCTCCATCCCTCTGGATCCGTACCTTGGGCTTGGGCTCTTTCCCCTGGTGCTGAGCAAGTCGGGGGTTATCAGGCAGTGGCAAGGCTCTGCTCTGCCTTGTGCTGTAGGATTTGGGTTTGGGGATCATGGGCAGCAGATGACACTCAGCAGCAGGTCCCCCTGTGCATGCAGCAGTGCTGGGGCATCCTGCTGCTGACACTGCTCGGCTTTGCACAGGAAGCTCCTGAGCACATTCAAAGGCATCCTCACCTCTATCCCTGCAGAAGCTGCTCCCCTTCCCTTGCAGATTTGCCTGTGCCTCCTCGTTAAGCTGGGCTCCTGGTGGTGGCAGGGCTTGTGAAGGATTGGCTTTGATGGAGCCTGTCCCCCGCTGCCTGGCCTCTCCACTGGGGTGTCAGCCAGGACCATGGGGAGTCACTTTGTGCTGGAGCCGGGCACTGAGGTGCATAATTACAGTGGCTGCTGGAGTGCAGACTTCAAACCAGTGATGCTGGGAGGGATGGGAATGTAAAAGACTTGACTGAGCCTCTGGAGAAGTGTCCAAGGGAGGAATGATGCTCTGGTTGCATCAGTGTTGGCCCAGGGTGGGACTGGTGGACAACCTAATGCTTGCAGTTTGTGTTCCCAGCTTCCCTATCCCCTCTGCCCTGCTCTGCACCCCCTCCAATCTGTTGTTTGCACTCCCCTCTCCTCCAACAGAACGCATTGCTCTCAGTCCTATGGCCAGGTCTGATACAGCCTCACCTCAATTATACCCCAAACCAACAGCTTTGGGGAGCACCATTTATTGCCATCTCCTCGCTCCACATCTCCCTCAGCTGCAGCCAAACAGGTCCCTGGCAGCAGCCCCATGGATTGACAGGCGCAGGGAGGAATCAGGCGAGTGGGATGCAAGGAGGGGTTGCTTGTGGTGCCTCAGTTCCTCGCCCCTCAGGGATGGGGAGAAAGCTTTCTAATGCAGCATTTTGTTTTCCAGTGAACTTGCTAGACACATCAACAATCCCGGGGGACTGGGGCTGGATGACTTATCCCTCGCATGGGGTAAGTATGAAGCGGCTGTTGGCGTGTGGGGAATGGGTCACCACAGGTCTCCCTGGTACCTAGGTCAGTGCTGATGGGGCAAAGAGGCCACATCCAATGGGAAAATGTCAGCCTGAAAGACCAGTGGGATGCGGCTGGTTTGGAAATGCCATTTAAGTGTCCATGTCCCCTGGTAGTGACTAGGTTGTCACCAAGTCCTGAGCAAAGAGGGAGCTCAAGAGTGGGGTCACCCCATGGGCTCTCACACTGAGAAGCGTCTCAGTCCTCACTGCACCAAGGGGAGCATCAGGATGAGCAGCCCAAAATGTCTGGGAAATCCTCAGCAACCTATAATCAGAGGAGTTTGCTGTGGGAAATGGGGAAGAAGGGCAGGGATGTGGATGGTTTCTTAAAGGGAATGGGGATGTAAATACACAGCCCTGCAGCGTGGCCAGGAGTGATGTAGGGGTGGTGACCCCCATCTGAACCTGCCATCTCTACTGGCTGGGTCCTTTCTGCATGCTCCCTTCACCTGCATTTCCATGCCTGCATTTCCATGTCCGCATTTCCCTGCCACAGCAGCTCTCTGGAAATGGTGAGTTTCAGATGGCAGCAGTGACCTGGCTGCAAGGAGTTTGCTCATTCATTGAAGGGAACAGAAACAATCGCATAATAAACACACAGAGGACCAACTGCGAGGCACAGTGGGGCTTGCCGCAATGCACAAAGAGGGCAAAATTGGGGTGCCTACCTGGCTTTCGCTGCTGTGCTGCTTTTTCATGCCCACTCTTTTTCATCCCCTCTCTGAACTAAACGGTCCTAATCTTTCCAATTCCACCTCCTACGGAAATCTTCCCAGGCCTCTAATCATTTTCATTGATCTGCTGCTTGAGACGTTCAGTCCCCACGCTGTTCGAGCAGGAGTGATCGGCACGGTGAATTCATACTAATGACGGCGATTGGGTTTATATCAGGCATTATTATATATGTAAATATATTAAATTACTAGCTCTAATTTTAGCAGTTAGCTCTTGCAGTGACTATCCTGGAAGTGTAACAGATTCAGAGGTACAAGGTCAGTGGGGACCGCAGAACTAATATGATGTGATCTCCTGCAGAAATACAGGCCTTCGGAGCTGCCAATTCACTCGCACCTCAGAAAAGCCCGGCTTCTATCAGATAAAAACCTTTGGCTGCAAAACTGCCAGTGGTGGTAAATCCTTCAGGTCCTGTAGTGATGCTGTTAACAGGTCGCTGTTAAAAACCCATCGCTATGTGGGTTTGCTTGGCTTTGGTTTCCTTCTTCTGCCATTGCTGGATGAGGGAGACATTGTCCTCTTCACAGGTTGTGCTTGGTCGTGTCCATCCCTATCCTGTCACACCACTGCTGCCATCTCATCCCAAACCTGCTGCCAAATCCTGGTGTCCTGGAGTGGCCTGATGCACGTTCAGAGGTCGGCGTTGCTGACCCTGTTCCTCAGCTAAAGTCATGCTCGTTTTTGCTTCACCCACATCTCCATTCCGCTGCCCTGCCTGAGCCTGGGGCCATGACATGGGTGACAGTGGGGAGGTGGGTAGCTCTGCATGGGTCTTTAATGGCACTAAACAACACAGAGCCCCGGTCCCCATTCTGAGGAGCTTGTGTCCTCTAGCTCAGTCTTTAGTGCCCTATAGCCTGCCCTATGGTTCTGCCCCACCTCTCTGGGGCTGCTGGGGATGCCAGTGGAAAGGTGGCAGCCTCAGAGCTTTCCTCTTCTGGGCTGTTTGCTGCCTGTGCAGCAAGCCAACAGTTCAAAGCAGCAGCAGCACAAAGCTGGAAGAGAGGCACTTGCAAAGTCCTGTTGCTTTCATCTCATCGATGGGAAAAGTGAACTTGCCCCTCTCTGGGTTTGCTGTGGCCACCAAGAGCAGAGGAGCAAAGGGCAGGGAGCAGCGGGCTCAGTGGGGGTCAGCAGCACCATGGACCCTAGGGAGTGTCAAGCCATCAGGGAGGCATGTGTGGTCTGTTTTGACATTTCCTCTTGCCAGACGATTAACTGAGGGGTAATTGGCTGTAATTGCTGCTCAGGGGTTTAATTGCATCCCCCCCTCACCTCCACCACGGAGACACGTGCAGGAAGTGGAAGGGTCACCAGCAGCATCCCTGTCCCGCAGGCTGCGGCTCCTCTCAATTATAACTTCAAAGGGCTCCCGGGAGCTTTGCAGCTCGCTCCATCCCCAGAACAATTCCCTTTGCGCTGAAAATTAAACTCTTATCAGTGCTGTCAAAGAGGCTGCCCCTTCCCCTTCTGTGCCGCCGGTTTCCCAGCTCTCCCCAGTAAAACACCCCAGTGCCCTTCTCTCCCCTCTCCTTGCTTGGCACGTGACCCGCTGGATCAGAGGGAGCCTGATCGGCCCCTTTGCAAATTGCTTTTCTACTGACTAATTAAAACGCTGATGAGATAAGTCAACATATTATTAATAATTATTGTATCGTCTACTTTGATTTACAAAGTCAAACAGGAAACGATTTTGTTCAGACTCAGGGTATCTAAAGAGCTTGGTTGATGCCTTGCAAGAGCTAATTACAATAGGAGCACCTTGAGTTCTGGAGGAAGGCTCCCCATGCTGCCCGTGACCTCCCCACCAGCACCTCTGTGGCCTGGCCCCATAGCATCCCTCTCACTGCATGGGCTGGGGTCAGCCCAAAGAGCTGCTGGGCATCTGCCCCCCAGGGACCTGCCCCAGTGCCTGGCATGCTCCATGTTGGCTATGTTGGTGGGAGCACCAGGAAAGACCTTCAGAGGTGGTTTGTGCATCCCCACCTCTGCCCTTCTGCTTCTGGGAAAGGGGTTTCTCTTCCCATCCAGAGCCTCTGCTTGGATCCAGGAACACCAGCAGGTTACAGGGCAAGCAGTGATGAAACTCCTCTTCTCTGAAAGAAAGAGAGGGGTAGGAATGGAACGTTGGAAAAATAAAGATTTAGATTAGTAATTGAGTTAAAAGCTCATCTCCCAGAGCTCATTCTGTAAATGCTGGGTTATTGCTAATTCCCCAGACACTGGTCACTACCAGGAGTTAATCACCTGCAGTGAAGCTCAGGGTAGTTAACGGCCTGACAAATCCCTCCTTAGCCACAGCAGTGACTGATTTCATGAGGATTATCTCCATTAAGGCCTCCCACTACTGATTTATAGGTGCAATAACATCCTTTTTCTCTCCCAGTGACAGAGCGAGGGACCAGGCAGCTCCCAGGGAGGTGCTGCAGCTCAGTGCTTGCTCACGGGAGGAAGGACGGTGCTGGATATCTCAGGGGCAGCAGCTTTGCTGTGCCAGGCATCCCTCAAGGAAGCCATCCCAGGGTGGGGAAGACCCCGTCCCTTGGTTCCCTCTGTGGTCACCAAAGGGTGGTGGGATGCTGAGCAGCTGCTGGATGTGTTCTCTCCTTGTGTGTTCGCCTCTTCCACTCCTCCTCCTCCCCATTCTGCTGCACCACACCAGCCCTGGGAGACTTGTAAGACCTTGCTCAGCTGCCCAGATATCTGGTGTTTGCATCTTTCGCCTTCCATATATCTGGCAAATATTATATAGCTGGTGTTGACTTTAATTTAAGCCATTAGGCAAACCCCTGCATACAGATGCAATCATGTCCCGTGTCCCCCCCCCAGCCCGTGCGCTCACCACAGTAATTATGGTGTCCTCATTTCCGTCTCGCTGGGGGATCTTATTGCACTGACGGGGGCCAGGCTGAGCTTCCTCTAACAAAAGCCACTTCAAACTGTGGGCTGAGAGGAGGCGATGCGGGAGGCTGGGGGTGTGCACAGAGCTCCCGGACCGATGGCACCCAGCGTCAGAGACTCCTCTCCCCACCTATAAGAGCCTGTCATTAGGGTGAAACAAGGGATGCCTGAAGCAGAACCCCTCCATCCCAGCTGCTCTAGGGATGTCACTGCTTGCGGGATCTGTGTTGCCTTATGGCACGCTGGGAAGATGCTCCTGTGGCATCTGAGCCACCAGTTTGGGTGGCCTGTCCCCCTCCACGTGTTTCCACCGATGGCAGAGCACTTGCCCTGTAGGCTGGTGGTACAGGCAGGCCTTTTGGGATCCCAAGGTGCTGCATACAACCCTGGGAAAGAGCTGACGGTCCAGGCACTGTGCAAAAAAGCACTCGGTTTGAAAGAGTTATGCTACAGCACCTCCAGGATGAAGACAGGCTGAGAACATTGGGGCTGCTCAGCCTGGAGAAGAGAAGCTGCGTGGAGACCTCAGAGAAGCTTCCAGTATCTGAAGGGGGGTACAAGGATGTCGGAGAGGGGCTCTTCATCAGGGAATGTAGTGATAGGACAAGGGGTGATGGGTTCAAACTGAAACAGGGGAAGTTCAGGTTGGAGATAAGGCAGAAGTTCTTCCCTGTGAGGGTGCTGAGGCGCTGGCACAGGGTGCCCAGAGAAGCTGTGGCTGCCCCATCCCTGGCAGTGTTCAAGGCCAGGTTGGACACAGGGGCTTGGAGCAAGCTGCTCTAGTGGAAGGGGTCCCTGCCCGTGGCAGGGGTTGGAACTGGATCATCTTAAGGTCCCTTCCAGCACAAACCAGTCTGGGATTCTATGAAAAGCAAATCCTCCAAGTTCTTCCCTGTGGCTGATGCCGACCATTGACAGTACTTGGAGATGGGCATTTAGCTCCCTGCTCTCTGCCAGCCATGAGGATGCTGCCAGCTCTGGCAGTGCCACAGGGGTGTGCAGACACCAGAGGCAGGAAAACCATCTCCTCTGCCAGATTTGGGAGAGAAGTGAATGTCTGGAGACCCAAAGCATCCACTCTAGCTGGAGGCCAAGGCATTTTGGTTCATACGATAGCCTTGTATTTCTCTTGTTGGGCACACCTGGAGAGCTCCAGTCCCTACATTTGTTGCAGAGGGAAGCTGTAAGTACATAGAATCATAGAAGAGTTTGGGTTGGAAGGGACCTTTGAAGGTCACCTGGTCCAGCTCCCCTCCCATGAGCAGGGCATGGCAAAGAGCATCCCTGCTGCCACCCTTCAGAGCATCCCTGTACCCCTCAGCCAAGCGGCAGGAGTGTATCCTGTGTGTCACAGCACCTTCTGTGGGCTCCTCTCCATGGCTGGGGAAGCTGAGCTTCTTGCTGGAAGCCTTGTGTTCACCACATGCTTCCCCTTCTCCTCATGGTAAGCACCTAAAACTCACTCTCCAGCTGGAAAGCAGCCTCTTTAGTTTGTGCATGGAGGTTGCATAAGCCAGAAGAGATCCACGTGCCTTCCTGCTGCTGCTGTGAATGACAGGTTGAGCACCAAGAGACCTGCAGGCATGGTCTGGAGGGTTTGGAGCTCTCCCAAGCACACACTGCCATCCGTTTGTGCCATCAGATCAGACTTGTGCGTTCAGGGGTGCACTGTGTACTTAGCTCTTCATCAGTGTGGGCTGGGAAAGTTCCTGCCCAGATTAGTGCTGGGTACAGCCTGCTCATCCTCATTGTCTTTTGGCCTGTGACAGTAGTGACCGCTTGTCCAGAGGCAGCTGCAGGAGCAGAGGGAGCTCATCGCAGAGTGGGTGATGGCACAGACTCCTGCATGCCCTGTGCTCTCCTGGTGTTGGAGGACACCTGGAATGACGTGTTCTCTCTCTGTCCCACAGTGGGATTCGATCAATGAAATGGATGAGTTTTTTAGCCCCATCCACACCTACCAGGTCTGCAATGTCATGACCCCCAACCAGAACAACTGGCTACGGACCAACTGGGTTCAACGGGACGGAGCGCGGCGGGTCTATGCAGAGATTAAATTCACACTGCGGGACTGTAACAGCATGCCGGGCGTGCTGGGCACCTGCAAGGAGACCTTCAACCTCTACTACCTGGAGTCCGACCGGGACTTGGGTACCAGCACCCGCGAGAGCCAGTTCATGAAGATCGACACCATCGCAGCCGATGAGAGCTTCACCAACGTGGACCTGGGGGTGAGGCGCCTGAAGTTGAACACGGAGGTGCGGGGCGTGGGGCCACTGAGCAAGAGGGGTTTCTACTTGGCATTCCAGGACATAGGCGCTTGCATCGCCATCGTTTCAGTGCGGGTGTACTACAAGAAGTGCCCGGCAACAGTGAGGAACTTGGCGTCCTTCTCCGAGGCTGTGACTGGGGCGGACTCGTCCTCCTTGGTGGAAGTGCGGGGAGAGTGTGTGGGCCATTCGGAGGAGAGGGACACCCCCAAAATGTACTGCAGCGCCGAGGGAGAATGGTTGGTGCCCATTGGGAAGTGCGTCTGCAGCGCTGGCTATGAGGAGCAGAGGGATTCCTGCATGGGTGAGTCTCTGCTTCTTGCTAGCAATGCCTGCGAGGGGAGGGATGGCTGCAAGGGGCTTTCACCTCCTTGGGGATGGGTTGAGGGCAGAAACCCACTCACACAAACTTGGACAGCCATCCTCTGTGGAGACGAAGGGCTGCCCAAGCCTTTGCTGACCATCTTCATGCTTCCCAAATGTGTTGCGGGTACCACCAGGAAGCTCCTTGGGAGCTCCTGTGAGCCTGACCATAACACATCCCGGTGCACAGGGCTTTGGGATGAGGACTGGTTTTGCAGTGGGAGCTGGCATCAGGACAGGGACTGCCCTGGCTCCATCTTTTCCTACCACGGAATACAGTGGTCCAGAGCTCCCATCCCAGTGCCCTCAGCACACCAGCAAAGCATCACTTGACTTCTCCAAACTGCCCCACCACTCGCTTCCCTTTGGCAGAGGGTTTGAACGAGAGGAAAGCAAACAGAAAACCATGGAGCTTTCATGAGACAAGGTTATTGCCTCCATCCATCACGGCTCCCCGGGGCCGCTCAGAGCTCCTCAGCCTGGGGGTGCCGGGAGCCTTCCTGGGGGCCCCCTGTGCCGCTGGGCAGACTTCAAGCTGCCGACTGTGCAAACTGTGATAAGGAAGCGGGGTGACCAGTGGCAGCCGTGCATCAGGCACAGGGATGTGTGTGTACAGAGCACGGGCTCCCTGTGAGAGCCCTCTGCACGGATCTGTTTGCTCTCGGTTTCTTTATGGGATGCCTTTAGGGGAGCAGCACAAATAAGAGTGCGGGGCCTTTGTTTGCCTTTCATGGAAACGCCAAATGGAACATTTGTCTTAGGGAGACTTGACGCAAGGTCGGGACGTCCGATGCTGGATGGGAATGGATCCAGGGGCTGCTGGGACCCACACCAGCCCCAGAGGGTCCCCAGCTATGAGAGAGGAAAGGACAGGCAGAATAAATGCTTCTATACAAAACTCCTGCCTGCAACCGTTGGTTTGGAAGTCATCCTGCGATAGCTCTGATAATTTATAAAGGATTCTTTCCTGTGAGGGTGGTGAGGCACTGGAATGGGTTGCCCAAGGAAGCTGTGAATGCTCCATCCCTGGCGGTGTTCAAGGCCAGGTTGGACAGAGCCTTGGGTGCCATGGTTTAGTGTGAGGTGTCCGTGCCCATGGCAGGGGGTTGGAACTGGATGAGCTTAAGGTCCTTTCCAACCCTAACTGTTCTATGATTCTATCTTGTCCCATGTTCAAGAGTGTGCATGAAAGGGGCACTGGTGTGGGACCCAGCCTGACTGCAAGGAGCTGTGAGTTCATAGAATCATAGAATGGTTGCAGCTGGAAGACACCTTAAAGGTCATCTTTAAAGGCAGGGACAGGGACACCTTCCACTACAGCATCTTGCTCCAAGCCCTGTCCACCCTTGCCCTGAACACTGCCAGGGACAGAGCAGCCACAGCTTCTCTGGGCACCCTGTGCCAGTGTCAGCTCATGCTGCTCAACCAGGAATGCTCTCTGGTGAAAATCTCCAGGGCTTGTGGCATCAGAAACAGGACAGAAATGGCACTGGACTTTCTCTGACCTCGGTGTTGTCTCACACTCCTGCTTTCCCTTTCCCGTTCATCCAGCACAATGAGTTGGATAGCTCAACACCTCTTCCTTGGCATCTCCTTTGGAGCAGGAGTACATGTATTCACACACAAAAGCAAGCAGATGCAAATCTTCAATCTAAGCTTCTCGTGCTTGACTGGGGCAAAGTGCATTTTTCATGGTGAAAAGTGCCTTTCCAGGGTGATTTATAACCCCAGCGGATCTGCCGGGGTTGGAAATTAGCCGTTTTAATTGTCAGGTGGACAAAAAGCAGGATTCCAGTGGCTGGCAATTTTCATTCTCCATCACAGCGATGAGCTGATATAAATCACTCCTTGTGGCCCTAATAATTTTTCTATAAATATCAAGGAAATTCATTTTTTTGCTTGGGGGGGTGTGGTGTGTGTGAAATTAGAGAGAAGATGCTTTGCCTCCATGGCAGTGTTTAAAATGTGATTCCAAGTTAATTTCCTTCCGCCTTTCACAGCCAGACGCCTTATTTGGCAGAGCTAAAGATGTTTGAACTGTGGAGGTTTCTCCCCCTCCTCTTCAATGCTCATTTTTCTAAGGACCTGCCAGAGTGAAGGAAGAGAGCTCTGGAAACCAGATCATGGCCCGAGCTGTTCCCAGCCCTTCAGAGGAGAAGGAAGGCTGCGCCACAGAGCTGGGAAGGATGGGGTGAGGTGGGACATGGTGGAGGATGAGGAAGGACCTGGGGAACTTCTCTGCCTCTCGTCCCCTTTACTGTCAGCCAGCACCTCGGATGCCTAAGCAAAGGCTGGGCAGGAGGGCGGTTGCTGGGATCTCTGACTCCTTTCTTTTACTCCAGCAGGATCCACATGTTTCACCTTATTGGGATGTCCTGGTGTATGCAGTAAGGATGTGAGGGGCAGTTTCCATGGGACTGGAGAGAGGACCACGCTAAGGCTGCCAGCTCGCCTGGCATCAGATGTGTCACAGCTCTGTATCACACAAGGCATTTGTCCCCCCTGTGTGTGCCTCATGCCTCTTCCTGATTGATCTACAGATGCACAGGACCCCCTTTTCGACTGCACCAGTGCTGCACATGAGTGGCCACAACTGCCATTGGGGTCCTGGAGTCTGCCAACCCCTACAATTCCCACTTCCAGTCCCATGGAATCTTCTGCCACAGCCACCCCAAGAATGAAACCCCTCAGGGTCTCTGTCCCAGGGCAGCTCAGCCCTGCTGCCCCACTCACTCTTCCCCACCTTAGTCAAGGGTCTGAAGGACTTTGGTTCCCTCACCCCCATCATACAGAGCCAGCTCTTTCCTCCTTGAAACGCATCACTCCACAGCAAGACACATTAGTATCGCTTAACCACAGCAAATAGCAACTGCTCTGCCTAAATAGCAGAATAAGCGATAGCATAAGTAAAGGGGATCTGTCCTCGCATTTTATCAGATAAGAAGACAATCAGCATAATCCACCTTATTTGTATGCAGCTGCTGTACAGGACAAATAGAGACCCATCTCAATAAGGTCAGTGCAATTAAAGTAATGAGCGAGGGAAGCACTTTAACCCTGGTTCTGCTTCTGTGGGAATGAAAGACAGCCATAAGCCACCTCCTCAAGGATCCATGAGGCTGAGACCCAGAACAAGTGTTCCACATCCTGGGGTTGGATGGAGAGGTGGAGGGAGGCTCTGGCAGGTGAGGACAGTATCCCTGCATCCACACCCCTCCTGCCTGCCCTGGCCAGACCCTCTCTGGGGAGGGCTACCCTTTAAGTCCATGATCCTTGCATCAGGGTCAGCATTCTGGGGCAGACCTGCGTCATTCCATGGACAGACTCTTCCTTGTTGTCAGAGTGGAGGGGATGAGCCTTTGGCAGAAATGCCATTCTGACACGCAGATAGACTCCACAACTTGTTAAAGTTGTAAAGTAGGTATGCTTTAGTCAGCGCTGAGGCGCATGTGGGATTGCTCCTCCAAAGGCATGCGCACCTCAGCGTTGTTTTCCTCTACATTTATCCTCTAAAGTTATACATATGCATGAGGTTACACAACCCGCCTATACATATTCATGTCCTATCCCCCCTTCGTATTATAATGAGCTAAAAGGTCCTTTGCGCTTGCGCAGTGCCTCCTGGTGGTCGTGGGTGAGGGTCTCAAGGTGAAGTAAACGAGTCTTCCTCGAGCCTGAACTTTTTACCCCTGCTCATTCCGCATGCTCCCTGGAGGCTTGGTCATTGTCCAAACCACAGAGCCAATTTCAGCAGGCCTGGGCATCCAAATGATGGGAACCATGTCATGGACCCTACCTCCTAACAAGAGCCATGTCCTTACATCTTGTTTTAGCATACACAGAGAGTACGATAAGCAGGAACGAGCAGTAACATTGTCAGGCAAGTGGCTTAACCCTAACCCCCCTGTACATTGGTTAACCCTTTGCATCGATTCCCAAAGAGTGTCTCTGTGATATATCCATGGGTTTCAGGAGGCCGGGAGCAGGCATCTTAACCTGCTGGCTGCTTTCCCTCTGCTGTACTCTGGCGCTTCAGCTTGGCTGGAAAGCAGTGATGAGGGAGCAACAGGTAGGTGATTGCTGTTCCATCAGCCCATTTGCAGCTGAGGAGGGTGTTTATAGCCTGCCAGGGCTGAGTGAGCCCAGCTTCCAAACAGGGGAGCCCCGAATGAGGATTTGGCCCTGGGGTAGACTTCACCCAGCTCTGCTTGAGCGGAAGAAATGGTCGTGTCCTCTAAACAAGGAGAAGAGAGGGAGATTGTCACTACTGGGACCCTTCCCAAACTGAGGGAGAGGTGGGAATAGGAGAAGATCTGCTGGCTCCTCATGGACAAACCCCTCTGCTGCTGGCCTCCTTGTGTCTTCTGTGGCACATAGCTGGTGGAAATGGATCTGGAGAGTCTGGTTAGCAATCTGGGAGGCAGATAATTTTCTCCAGTTGGTGGGATTCATGCTGACGAACCAATCAGCAAATTTAATGTACCTTAAACCTTCCTTGTGGGCAACTTTAATCGAGCAATTAAAGCACCACGGCATTGCTAATTAAGAGGAGAAAATACCCAGCTTGGTAATTATGTGTTTGTGAGTACAGTTTTGTCTCCATGGACCTTTATGAAGGAAGTCAGTGGGGGCTGACTTTCCAGCTGGTGGGGCATTGGGGGAGCGGAGCTGTACGGTGTGAGAGGAGGGAAGGCTCCATCTATGTGCACCATGTCACTGATGTACTGTGCTGGCTGGACACAACACAGGGACAGGGCAAGCCCTAAACACCCCAGGGGACAAGATGACACAGGTGAAGGCATTGGCAGGCGAAGCCAGGTCTGACACATGGACTCCAGCTGTGCTGGGCAATGGCCTGCAGCCACAGCAGCAAACCTTTGCAGCTGTGTGAACAGATGTGGTCCAGATGCTGGTGTTGGAAGGGGAGGAACGGTGGAGGCA